ATGGACTGAAACAAAGTGGGCGCATGTGGTACAATAGATTAAGCGATTACCTAGTCAGAGAAGGTTATAAGAATGATCCCATCAGTCCATGTATCTTCATAAAGAAATTCGCAAACAAAGGATTTGTGATAATAGCAGTATATGTGGATGATTTGAACATCCTTGGAACCTCTGGGGAAATCGCCCAAACAGTCGAATATCTAAAGAAGAATTCGAGATGAAAGACCTAGGCAAGACAAAATTCTGTTTGGGATTGCAACTTGAGTACGTGAATAATGGAATCCTTGTGCATCAAAAGGCATATACTGAAAAAGTACTCAAGAGATTCAATATGGACCAGGCCCACCCATTGAGCAGCCCAATGGTGGTGAGAAGCCTTAGATTGGATAGTGATCCATTCGGTCCAAAGAAGGACGAGGAAGAAATTCTCGGTCCTGAAGTGCCATACCTCAGTGCCATAGGAGCGTTAATGTACTTGGCTAGCCACACTAGACCAGACATATGTTTTGCCGTGAACCTCCTTTGTCTAAATTTAGTTCATGATCAACCCAAAGGCACTAGAAAGGTTTGAAGGAAGGTTTGGTTAAATTTTAAATTCTATTCTTCCTATGTTTGTTTATTTGGGTTTTATTCTATACTGATCTAACCAAAGAAGGTCTAGTTTGCTTTGGTTTAGTTTGTTTTGCTAATGCAGGTAAGATCAGATTATGGCATGGTCAATAAATAGGAACTACGTGTGGCTTGATCCCTTCCAAGGGTACGTAGGCAGCCTTCTTCAAGGCGCAGCTACTACAACATCAAAGACCATCATATGTGAAGACAACGTAGCCATGTATCGCTCAGCTCAAGGACGGCTACATCAAGGGAGATCGGACGAAGCACATTCTACCAAAGTTCTTCTTCACGCATGACTTGCAAAGGGATGGAGAAGTTCGAGTGGTACAAGTTCGGTCCAGCGACAACTCAGCCGATCTCTTCACCAAGGCATTACCAACGTCAACATTGAGGAAGCTCACGCATCAAATTGGAATGCGGAGACTTAAGGACTTACAGGGATGACCAAATCAGGGGGAGTAATACGTGCTGTACTCTTTTTCCTTCACCATGGTTTTGTCCCAATGGGTTTTCCTGGTAAGGTTTTAATGAGGCAGCATCCCCAAGCGTATTACTGAGATCCTTTGGCATCTACACGGTTATGTCATCCAAGGGGGAGTGTTATAAATCACATGTTGGATGGACTCCATAACCGTGGGCCTAATCCATATTCTACAAGGCCCATGTCCATGTCCTTTACGGCCCATGCCCATGTTCTAGAAGACTCTCCTTATGACGGTCTATATTGTACTTAGTGGGCTTACGGGCTTTAGGGTTTACTAACCCAATGAGGATTTGTCTCCTCTCATCATGTATATATATGTATCGAACCTCATACTTTATTCAATACAACTAAGAGTTTTACAACAGAATCTGGATTACAAATATGAAGAAAGCACTAATTATTCTCCAGAGAAAAACTTAGGCTGAAAATTATGAGAAACAGCCTATTTATAGCAAATACTAGGAAACCCTAAATCACAAAACGACAAAGTATTAGGGCGGTTTAGGGATATACTCGACCCTTGTGATCGAGTATAGAGGTTGAATAAAGTTGGCGCCTTTGCGATTTCTTGTTCCGGGCGTGTTGTGATCGAGCATCTGGGTCGAGTATGTGCTCGCGTTCTGCTTCATCCTCTTCTCTTCCTTATGCTCAATGTCTGGTTGAGTTGGATCTGAGAAGACTCTGAAGCTTGTGATCAAGAGGCTGCGCTGGAGGTGGTGATCGAGCATCTGATCGAGTGATCTGAAGGACGCTTGCTGGGAGTGGTGATCGAGTGTCTGGTCGAGTGATCCAGATACACAAGGACGCCGGGTTGCTCGACCACAGGGTCGAGTATGATGACAGAGGATGCGATCAAGTGTTGTGGCAGGTTGTGGTCGAGCATCCGCTTCAGTGGCCAGGATGATGGTACTCGACCTCGTGGTCGAGTATGTGGTCGAGCATACTGATGGGTTCTGGTCCACTTCTTCCAATTTGCTCACCAACAGCTCCTAATCACCTGAAAACAACTCAAAAATGCAACATGCATGCAAAACTATCCTAATCATGCAAAGTGATGACAAATGATGAAGAATGGTATGAAACAATGACGAAATGATGATAAAGTGATGCTAAATGGATGCTCAAAACAAGTAAAATATGGACATATCAACTCCCCCAAACTTAGTCTTTGCTTGCCCTCAAGCAAACAAGTAAACATAAGATGAAGGAGAGGTTTGAAGGTGGGGATTCAGAACCAAAGCATGCAAACAAAGTAAATGAACTCAATGTCCAAGTTAGTAATTGTGGAATGCATAGAGACTAAACTCTACTCAAAAACTTTAGCCATATTCATCACAAGACAACCTAACATTTGTTCCAATCTACACACCTTCAGATCATCAATTCCCTTTAACATTGATTAAGCTCAAACCATGAATCAAGCAAAACATTGTTGAAGAACTCGTTTGGTTTAAAGGACAAGGCTGAGAAACAAAGATGGTTCCTCTGTAAATGGTTTCAGACTTTTGCACAGCAACAGGGAACTCTCATGAATGGACAGAGCTTTAGTAGAATGCTAAAGGTTAGAACCAACCTACGCATACAAGAACAGACCCCATCTACCCAAATAACCATAAGTATATCAAACTCCATAGATGGTCCTATCTCTAACCCCAGAAATGATCCTAATTCTACCCTTTGCACTCAAGGCATGTTTCAATAATCTCTTGGATCAACCCATTCTTTCTTTTTGGTTTTGTTCTAAGGAGAGGATTTCTTTTAGACTTTCTAGCGGATTGGGACTTTCTTTAACAACTAAGGCTCTTCTTCTCATTCTCATGACTTAAGACAACTCTAGGCTTTTGCCTTTCTTTTTACTTTGCACAGAGCCTAACTTCTTTTATTTTCAAGCTTCCCAAATCCTTTACTAGACTAACATGATATCTTTTCTGTTTCACTTCCATCTCCTAAGAACAATAACACTTGTCTTTCTTTCTCATTTTCTTTCCAAACACATTCCCAAACCCAAAGTAAAACTCCCACCTAGTCCTATCTAGCCCAAAAAGCGTGGACTAGAACTACATGGGATACCATTCTTGTCGGTTCATACCTAACACTTTCTACCAAGCTCAATCCGGAAATAGGCCTCACACACACACAAATTTATTCAGGGCTTGAAAGAAAGGTTAGGTTCAGGGTAGGGGAAACTGTTCCAATGATGGGAATCAGCTACTTGGATTAGCAAGAGTGGTAGAAGGTGAAAGAAAATCCAAGTATGTGTATTGGTAGCCACAAGTTCAACAACAATGCAAAGACATGATAATTACAAGTCAAGTTCAGGTTCTAATAGATAGGGAAAAGAATCACATTAAGCATGCTTCAATTAAAACAAGAGAGTCAAGTTGTGAATTCCAAATATGGTGCTGTCTTACTTCAAGTTCTATCACAAGCATTAAACAACTAATAACGAGGGCATTGAATTCATTCAGTAAATGAGCATGCTTACAAGGTTATATCATCATAATCCCCTATGCATATGCAATAATCCTATATGAAACATTCTAGACTCAATCTTAAAATGAGAATGCAACTACATGAACACTCTGTTTTTGTGAAATCATTTTCAGAAATTTTTCAAATTTTTAGGCTTTTTTCAATGACATAGATGCATGCAGACTCAAGAGTATGTACAATGCAAAAATTTGAAAATAAGAACAAAGCAAACACATCAGATACTTCCTGAGCCCTCCCCCAAACTTGAATCACACAGTCCTCTGTGTGACCAAACTTGGAAGAGAGTACTCAGGACAAACAAATAAAGAAAGAAAACAAGAAATGGTATAAACAATGGTGGTAGAGTGTGGTACCTCACTGGAAGGTCCTGGAGATGTAGTCATCCATCTCCTCTCTGGTGTATTCCCATGGAATGTTGGGACCTTGTTGTTGCTCTTCCTCCTCTGGTGCAGGATGCTCGATGGCAGGGTTGGCTTGGCGTTCAGCGCGGCGGTTTAGTGGTCGCCTGGCGTTGAAGAGCATCGCCTTGCTACCTGAGCGAACTGGTGCTTGCTTCCTTCTTCTCCTATGCTCTCTAGGTTCGTGAGAGGAGTGTCTTGCTGGTGCCTGGGAAGTGTCTGCTTCCCTTTGTTCATAGGTGGATTGCCTTGGCACTTCGTAGACGTCTTGAACCGGTTCATAGGTTGAGTCCCTTGGTGCATTTGAATCATGACGTCTGGAGAGTATCTCTTCAGGAGGGTCTACTCTTGGAGCAGAAGTGCTAGTAGAGGAGCGGTTCACCTTCTTCTGCATGGATTTGTACATCTTGAAGCACTTACCAATGAACTTGTCCTGGAACTTGCACCAAGCTTGGAGCTTGCTGATCTTCTCATGACTCTCAGTGACGCTCTTGCTCTGTCTTGATGGTGGCTCGTGCTCAGCGAAGTGGAACCTCCTGGTGTTATATTCTTCTATATCAAGGTCCTCTTCTTCTTCAGAGTTGGCTCCTTCTTCTTCAGCATTGGCTCCTTCTCCTCCAGCATTGGCTCCTTCTTCCTCAGCAGGTTGAACGACCTCGCTCACGCCATAGAGCATTTGAACAGGTGGGTTGAAGTCGATATTGCTTCTGTCCATGATCGTGGTGTATGCCTGGTGAGGAAGGAGAAACTTCGCCCCTTCTGCTTCTGGAAGATCAAATATCCAGGCATACCTTTCATCTATCATTCCCCAAGCCAGAGAGGTAGATTTCCTCAAGTGCTCGATGTCGATCCACTTAGGAAGGACTTCTTGTGACTCTAAAGGTACTCCACATGCTAACAATATGGGTGTTATCAGCCCACCCATACACAACTTCCCTTTAGCAGTTTTCTTGGCATTCGTCGCTGCCCATGATTTGTAGCTCCACAGGTGGCCAAGTAAGAAGAAAACAGCAGAAGTGTTTGACTTGTCACCCATTAACACTGTATTGTCCTTGGTTACGCCCAGGGTTTCCTGCAGTGCCATCACCAACACTTCCATCTCTCCGTTTATGATCGTGCTAGTTATCTCCCTTGCAAAGAGGACACTGGCAAGGCTGCGGTGGAAGTAGCGGAGGACTGGGCTCCTGATGGTGTTGCTCTTGGAGCGGGAAGAGAAGAACTTGACATCATCTCCAATCGTCTCCCAGAGTCCAACTATCTCTTTTCTGTCAACACGGTGGCCAGTGCCAACTCCGCTCTGAAAATCAAAGAGAGATTCCAGCTGCTTCATGGTGAGGATGTAGTCTTGGCCATGGATAGTGAAGGTCAAGTAGCCAAGCCCGTAATCTCTTTCTCTCTTCTTCTTCTTCTCAGAAAAGATCTCAACTTGGAAGGAGGAGAGAAACTGGATTGTTTCCTCCTTGTAGGCGCTGTAAGGACGGTTCATGAGGGGGAATAGACTGGTTTGCTCACAGAGATACTCGATATCTTCATAGATACCAAGCTCCAACATCGTCCCTGGATGCGGGTACCTAGTCCCGACGAAGTGATGACGCCTGAAGAGCTCACAGTACTCTTCCATTGAGATGTTCTTCTTGTCTGTCTTCCAAGGCTTCGTTGCAACGTCCTTCAATGAACTGGATATCTCTTCCATTGTTTTCTTGCCGCTGGTGATATCGTCTCTGAGCCGAGAGTACTCTTGACCTTCTCTTTCTGGAAGAGATGTAGACCATGACTCGTCCTCATTAACATTGTAATCGTGATCCTGGCTGGAGGCGTAGCTCACCTGGTCATTGTATGAACTCATTTTCTTTTGAACTGAATGAATCAAACTCAAAACTACAAATTAGTAGGTTAGTGAGTCCAAACAAATCAAAACCAAGATAGAAGAAAGAGTTAAAGTTTGGATGAGACAAAGGATTGAGTAAACCTTAGAATGTAGCTGTTTGGAGCGGATTTGGGGCTGCTAGGTCGAGCAAGTGAAGTAGCGGATCTGCAGGAGGCTTGTGGTCGAGCAAGTGATCGAGTAAACGGAGGAGCGGAGCTGTTGGAGGTTGGTGGTCGAGCAAGTGAAGTAGCAGAGGTGAAAAGCTGCGATATTGGTGATTTTTAGTGAGAGAAGTGAGCTTTGTAGTGAGAGGTAGAGCTTGGAAGTGTTTGTATATATAGGGGAGTGGTGTGAGTAGTTTGCCCTTGAAGATGTGGAGGAGAGTGAATGAGAAATCATGTGGAGGAGGATGGAGTTCTTATGAAAACGTGGGGAAAGGAAGTGGGTAGGTTGGTGGCTTTAGCTTGGTGGGAGACAAGATGGGATGTAGGGGACATGATGGGATGCCTCCATTGACTCAAGTGGGGAATCTCTTTAATCACCATTAGCAGAATCGCAACTCATTAGAGTGATTACTGTACCTCCAAACTTGTTTTAAGCACTTGATCCTTCTTCTACCTTTTCAGCTCCAAGACAACCAAATTGCACCAAACTGACCATTATACTCGATCTCCACTGGTAGGGTGCTCTGTTGCACTCTCATCGTCTTGTTCTCCTTGTGGTCGAGTAGGTGGTGATGAATTGGAATTTTTGTGATCAAAAACACGCATGCTCGACTCTCCTACTCGATGGCGGGATCTCCAGGTGCAACAAAAGATTTTCAAATTTTTGGACTCCCCTGGGCTAATATGCTCGATCGCGAGGTCCATGGTAGAGTAAAAATTTTGAATTTTTACTCTATCTCCAGATTGATTCTCCATTCCTGAGAACCACAAACACTACCAAAACAAATCAAAAATAACAAGAAAGAAAGAAAATATTTACAGAGATAGTCATGGGACTTCCTCCCAAGTGAGCTTGTTTTAAGTCATTAGCTTGACTTCCTTACTCCCTTAAACTTCAAGAGGTTCCTGGAGATGAACTGAGGTCACCTCTGGAATGACTTGATCTGCTAAGTATTTCTTGAGTCTCTGGCCATTTCACTGTGAAATCTCCACTCTTACCAGCTAGAGTGACATGAGTTTGAAGGATGAGTCTGGACTAGAATTGGTTCCTTCACTCTTGCAGCTTCAAATTCTTCTCCTGGAACCGCTCTCTGAATCTCTAAGCCTCTTTCCCTCTGTAGTTGACCTTGTTGGAGTTTTGTTGATGTCAAACTGCAACTTGACAATGCCTCCCAAGGTTGAGATCAATCTTACCATATCTGACATCTATTACTGCTCCCACTGAGGCCAAGAAAGGTCTTCCTAAGATCAGAGGATCCTTAGATTCTTCATCCATGTCAAGTACAACAAAATCAGTAGGCACCTCTACTCCATTAATCATTACTGGCACATCCTCCAGCAGGCTAAAAGGTCTCCTTGTAGTCCTATCTGCAAGAATCAAGGTGATGTCGCAGGGCCTGTATTGGACAAATCCAACTTCCGTGCCACAGAGAGTGGCATTAGACTGACTGAGGCTCCTAAATCGCATAGACAATTGCTGAAAGTCGATTGCCTGATGGAACATGGCAGAGTGAAGATCCAGGATCTTCCAACTTTTCTTGAATAATCCTCTCATCAGGGGCTTGAATCGGATCGGCATCATATTCATCACCTGAATCTTGATATATGTTGAGCCTTTTCAGTATCAAGTTTCTCACATCTCTGTGAGGGTCTGGAATCAACTTGAGAACTTCTATTAATGGCATCACTGCTTCCATCTCGTCAAGTTGTTTCTCTGCAAGAGATCCATAGTTTTCTTTCCAAGTTTCCCTGAACTTCCATGGAAGAGCAAGTGAAGGTGATGGAGTTGACTTGAATCGTTTTACCATTCTCTCAATTATAGCAGCTTTCTCTTTCAAGGCAGATTGAGTTTGATGGCGAGGTCGAGCTGAATAGTCGAGCTCAATAACAGAGATTTCCATCTGAGTAGAAGCCTCCCCTTCTTTAACCTCACTGTCCTCAGTGATTGATTTAGGGGTATTTCGAGTAGGTTTCTTCATAGCATTATCACTGTCAAACTCCATCTTGAAATCTTTTCCAAGATTAAAATCAATCGTCCCCTTCTTGACATCTATGATTGCGCCGGCTGTAGCTAAGAAGGGCCTCCCTAAGATTAACGGATTTACTGGATCTTCATCCATTTCGAGTACTAGGAAATCGGTGGGGATTTCAACATTTCCTATCTTAATAGGCAAATCTTCTAATATCCCATGAGGTTGTCGAACAGACCCATCAGCTAGGATCAAGGAGTTGTTGAAAGATTTGTACGCGCTGAAACCTAGTCTCTTGGCCACATAGAGAGGCATGAGACTTATGAAACCACCGAGATCGCATAGGCAGTTACTGAAGGCCAAAGGACCTATAGAGCAAGGTAAGGTAAACGAACCAGGATCTCCTAATTTCTTGGGAGGTGGCATAAAGACTGTATCCTTGGTTATTGCAGCAGCTAGTGTTTCAGGATATTGAGATGCTGCAGTAGGTGATCGAGTAGGTGAATCGAGTATAGGCTCCTCTGTTGCCTTTTCAGGTGAATCTTGAACTTCAATGTCCTCAGTGATTGAGGGAGTGGCATGTCGAGTTGGCAGCTCTCGATCATGGCAGATAGTGAAAGCATGAGCAGTGGCATACTCCTTTGGATTGTGAATTTCTTTGCCTGGAAGTTGGCCAGTAGGTTTTGGAGTAGATGTAGATGCAGATTGTCCCTCCAAGTATCGCACTTTGGAATTCAATGCCTCTACTTTGACATTCAGGTCATTGTAGCTACAGTCCATCTTATTGTGTAATTCAGATATCTTCTTAGCAATCTCCATGGAGCCAGATGCTTGTCCTTGGAGTAGCTGTTGTAGCATTTGCTTCATGTCAGAATCATGAGCAGCAGGACCTTGGTGTTGCTGAGGTGCAAACCCAGGTGGTGGCTGCTGGTAGTTTCCTTGAAATTGTTGCTTGGGAGCAAAGCCTTGGTTGTAGGGAACAAAAGGTTTATTCTGACCCTGGTGTTGTTGTGGAGGATACACTTGATCCTGTGGATTAGCAACGTTGGTGCTACGGTAAGAAAGGTTGGGGTTGTTAGTCTTGAAGTTGTTATACCCTTTGTAGCCACCTTGATTGATGTGTTGTGTTTTTGACGGTTTTGAGTATTTGTTTTCTTTCTTAGATCATATCTTTTATAGAGTCAAAGTATGTTTTTAGAGTCTTTTAGTCCTTTATCGAGTCTCTACAGGTTTTAGGAAGCTATGCTGGAGTTGGAGGCTTTTCGTATCAAAAAGACGGGCATTAGGAGATGAAATGGGAATATGGTGATTCAAGATAAATCTGCTGGAAAATGGCATCAGGCAAATTTCATCAAGCAACTGCCTGATACACAATTCCAGTTTTCTGCCCAAATCTGCTGGAAAATGGCATCAGGCAAATTTCATCAGGCAACTGCCTGATGCCCAGTTCTGGTTTTCCTTAACCAGTTTTATTTCCTATTTTCTGTAATTGGGTATAAAAACCCAGAGACCTAATTTTCTCAGACACGTTTTTCTTTCTGCAATTTTTCTGAGACTTTTCTCTTGTGAGCAACCTTGGGATTCTAGAGATTCATCCTCTTTGACAATTTGGAGAAGATTTGTAAACCCTATTTCTTATTTTCATTGCAATTCAATTATGTCCTCTTCATCTATTTGTGTTGTTTTCTTTGCCATGAGTGAGTAGTTTCTCAATTGGGTTTTAGGGTTCTAATTAGGAGATTCAATGGATTAATGGATTGATTGTTATTAGGAGTTCTTATTCTCTAGGTTCTTTGATTCACATGTTCTTAATGCTAGAATAGGATTGATCACCCTGTTGTAGATTCTAGGTTTTTCTATGCATCAAAAGTGTTCGATAGAATGCCTGAAAGAATGTGAATTGAGCAATGTATGCTTAGACAACGACAGTTGACGTTAGGACGCATTGTGAACTTAATGAACCTGTTTGATAATGCGAATTTGACTAGGAAATTACATGCGAAAGTTTAGTAATCGAGTAGTCAAATTTAGTGATTAATGTCTTGAAAGAGAATTAGTCTAGTTGTGTTCATGTTCGAGAACGGTTCGTAATTATTGAATTCCTTGTTTCATGTTTCCATTGTTTATTGATCTCTGAAATACCCTAATGCCCAATGCCTTTTAATCTTGAAGTTAAATCGTTTAATTAATTTGCATTTTTATTTTACAATCTGAAAACTCAAACAAAACAATTCTTCGCTTTAGCTAAGAACGAGTCTCGGAAGTCCTTAGAGTACCTTTGGTCCTTGTGGATCGACCCCGTATATACTGCCTTGCGGTTAAGTGTATCGGGTAATTACTCGAGCAATCAAGTTGGCGCCGTTGCCGGGGACCAATTGCGTTACCTAAGGATTTAGGATTAGTTTTTAGTCTAAAGCATTTTTATTTTCTGCTACTGATTTTCGTTTTCGTTTTCTCTTTGGTGTTTTCAGGTGTATGACCCGCAGCCAAGGCTCGTCACATCTAGCGGACTACCAAGAGGATATCGGAAAATTTGAAAGAGCGAATAAGAAAAAGAAGAAGATAGCCGAGCAGAGAGAAGCTGAAATGGCTGAATTTGATGCTGCAGGAAATCTTCAGAATAGAGATGAACTCCCACTTGGAGGTGATCATCAAGGAGTGTTTCAGGATCCTCCACCGCCTAGAAACAATAATGCTCCTGCTGCTGGTGAACAAGATGCCGCTGCCCGTGCAGCTGCTGAACGTGATGCTGCTGCTAATGCCGCTCGTGTAGCTGTAGCAAATGCTAGGCCCGCGCCTGCTCGACAGACTCTGAGAGAGCATGATGCTCCTAATGTTGTGCATTTCCGAGACAGGAACCAACAGCTGCCAATCAATAGGAATGATTTTGAGATTAAGACAGGGTTGCTATCTTTGGTGAAGCAGAATCAGTTCCATGGTCTCACCTCGGAGAATC